ATAAAATAAACAAACACAAAATGAAAGTAAAGCGGCAGCCCCTCGCGGACGACTGCCGCACACAAAACACAAAATAAAATCCAGGCCTGGTCCTCTCTCGTCCAACACTGTTGTCACTCCTCCTACATTTACTCCACCAGCCTCGCTCCGTTCCCACGGCTCTCGGCCCCGCCCCTCTCGTCACAGCTAGATATTCAAAAGTATGTGAAATATGTAAAGTTCGCGGCATGGAATCTTTAAAATACGTACGAGAGTTTTACACACTGGTCTGTTATTGTGGCGACATTTCCATGCCTGAAACGTGACGCTGAACGAAACGAACTGTGATTGGTTGTTTGACATGTCAGTCAAACGGCCTCATGGGCTTGGCCTTGGCCAATGAAAGCTGCCATGGATTCCAGACCTTCAGCCGTCAGCCTGAAGGTCTGGCTACGCGAGACTATAGCAACCATGACCTGAGGGTATCTGCACAGGTTCGGCACAGCGCCACCTAGTTGTCAGGAGATATTAAAGTAATAATAATAATCATCGTTGTCATCATCATAGTTATTATTATTAGTAGTAGTATTTGTAGTACTGGTAGTAGACCGATATATTTTACCAGAGCCGATATATCGGCTGATATTTGCCATTTTTAAATTATCAGCATTGGCTAATGTGTCGGACTTTTATTTTAACAGAATTTCAGCGACTGAGCCACTGTCTCTGTTTAACAGTTATGTCTAATAAATAAATAAATTAAATTAAGTTCTGTCTAATACATTATTACCATTAAAAAAGTCAGTATCGGTCCACTACTAGTTTATACATTATTCACAACAAGCTCACTGTTCACCGAGTCTGTAATTTCTAATCCAAGTCAAATATTGCTTACAAGTCTTAATTAAGTCTCAAGTTAATTTTTATTTAAGTGCAACTTGAATCATGTGTTACTATGACTGGGAGTTATACATCACAGCTACAGGCCCCCAGCACTGTTTGAACTAAATGTTTACTTTGTGTTTTTTTACATGGCAAGAACATCAAGAGAATCAATTCAGCTCTTGTTTAACATCGCATCATTGATTGTCCAGGATTGTCTCTCTCACTCCCTCTTTAACAGTCTCTCTTTGTTCCTTCCTGTTACCACACTTTGATAAAACGCCTGTTTTTTGTCTTTTCAGTCTGTTCAACACTAAAGAAGCTAAAGTGACCATTAAAGCTCAGTGTGTGTTTGCTGCATTAACTGTCTGTCACAGACTCTCTCTCTCTCTCTCTGGCCTTGAGTCTTGATTTCCTGAGAACCTATGGGCAAACCAAAGGGGGGAGTTTGAGAAGATCAATGACAGATAGACTAAAAGTGAAGGACGATGGCTTTGCTACCACATTTCCTCTTCCTCATTCTTCCTTCCCCCTCCCTTCCATGGGTTAAATCAAGATGAAATGGATGGAACAAGCACCATGACCCTGATGTTTCCTTTTGCTGTATTTTCCTCATTTCAAGGAGGTATGAGTTATCCATTTGGCACTGTTACCTGCACGAAACTACACAACGATCGGTGCCAGCTTCAAGTCGAACGAACGAACAAACATATGCGCGTATTTGCATCACTTTGATCGTTCTCACCTTCTCACGTGCGACACACCACAATTGGTCGATTATGTACAATACCTCCATGTTATTGGTCAAACAACTTTATGTTTTAGGCAATATAAAAATCATGGCCAGGACGTGTCCCGTATAAATGGCACATATGGCCACCCTACTCTCGAATCGATTCTGAGCTTAGATTTTAACAGCAGATGGCGTTCTAGGCTAGTTTTTAACCGCACACTCAAATGCTCACGAAGAAGAACGCTTGTGCGTTTGGCTGAGTAATGTAAGAGGTTAAATGTACTTGCACATCGACTTTTATGATGCTAGATTAATGTAAACACAGCCCACTGTGAACATCCTTGTAATTCGGTTCAACCTTTTCAAACTTTATGAATGATTATTTTAGGTTCAAGTGGTGCGTGTGTAAGGAACTGGAAGCAAGCAGAATACGGCTATTTCTACAGCACGCAGTGCCATCTGCTGTTAAAAACTAAGCTCAGAATCGATTCAAGAGAGAATCGCGATGCCTTCGGAAAATCTCAGAATCGATGCAGAATCATTTCTTGATTCGCGATGCATCGATTTATTGTCCCAGCCCTATAATATAAACATTTGTAACTTAATGGACTCTGCTTCCTTATTATGGAACATTTATATCTGGCCTGTTTTTGGTTAAGATCCTTTAATAATTTGCATTTCATCTCCACTTTTGCCTAAAAACTAGAAGTCTCTCTTCACCTGTTGCATTAACCACAAGCAGGCTTGATGAATGCACTAAAGCAATAGTGAAGAGCTAATTGGCTTGAAATACTCTGATAATGACTGATAAAATCTCTGATAATGACTGGTTATTTCTGCTGCAGGCTAATTTAATTTATACTCCCTTTCACCTCTTTGGCCATATTTTGGAAAGAAGCAAATTACTATACATCAGTTGAACATCCATTTCGATTGGTCTGAACTGATGAGGGAAGCCTGTATGATGTCAGCATGATTACATAGATAAGAGTTATGCACATTAGTAGGTAAATTGATTAAACCAACAATTAATTTGATCAAACCAGTTCTAACTTTCATACTAAATACATTTTTGAACCATTTCAAATGGATCACCACTGGCTGTGTAAGCATGAGTGGGACGTGCACATTAGTATTGTGAAAGCCGGCAACGCTCAGTAGCACCTGCCAAAGCAGCTACGACAACAGCAACCAAACAATGTTCAGCTGGCAGATCCAAGTGTGTCACTGGAACAAACAGATTCTGTGTGTCATTCCACTGATGCCCTTCCTCTCTGATGAATGCACCGCATTAAACGGCCCCCTGAGGGAGTGGAAATTACAGGTACCTCGCATCTGCATGCCGGCCTACAGGCGCTTCTGATGCGAGCGTGTTAAACTGCACCTACAACATGTGGGCAAAAACAAAAGAGGGAGCGGACAAACTGAAGGCCATAACTCCCATGTCTGGTCGATAGATCTGTCTGGGCTGCATCATTGGCTGGCCATGTGACATTAACTGCAGGGTAATAGAAATGATCTAGTGAGATTCATCCCCCCCTCAACTTACCTGCCACATTCAGGTAAATGGATGGGCTTGTCTTGTTTTCTCCATTCTTCTCATTAACAGCCTGTACGTAGTACCTCCCGGCGTCCGCCGCAGCCGTGGCGAGCACCACTAGCTGGTTCTCCAACGTTATGGCTCTGTGGAGAGTAACAAAGCAAATGAAATACAGCTATGTTAAACCATTATTGACAATTAGTCTGGTACCCTAACAAATTCCACTATCGCAATAGAGTGACAGCATTTTAATTAGTGCTTAACTGATGTATATTGGGTTCCATAAAACTAGCTTTGCTGTGAACTCATTGTGCCCTGGATTTGACTGGGACGCGTCTGGCGTGGAGGAATTTCATGGGGCTCTGAGCGTTTTCAATGTACCTGATCCCTCATTCTGACACAAGCTGAGAATCAATGAGCGGTAAGGGTCATTACGGACAGGAATACCGCTGTTGGTGGGAATAAACCTACAGGCGAGTATCTAAGTGAGGGAGCTGTTTGTTGAGACCCAGACTTGGGGGAAAAAGTGAACAAGGAACAGTTCACTGAAAAAGTCCATAGAATGCTCATAAAGATATTACAAAAACAGTTCATTTGGCATGAATCACAAACAAATGTTTTCAACTGTGATAATAATGAGAAATGTTTCAACAAATGCACAGAATCAAAGGATCATGTGACACTGAAGACTGGAGTAATGGCTCAGAAAATTCAGCTGTGCCAGCACTGGAGTGAATTACATTTTAAAATACATCAAAACAATATTGCAATAATAGTTCACAATATTACTGAATTTTTTATTTTAAAATTTTGAACAGTAGCACACACAGACACACACACACACACACACACATACTGTATATAGATAATATATAATATATAATTTATAATAATTAATTAATTAATTAATAAATAAAGATTCTTTTGAGTTGCCTTTTTTCAAAGAGCAAATCATTTGAACCATTTCACAAAAAAACACACTGGAAGTAAAAAAAGGTTTTAGTGTATTACAACATCAATTTTGGACTTTTACAATACTTTTATAGAGCTTCTGTGACCTTAAGAGATCCCTGAAAGCTCTTTGCCCCAATAATTACATATAAAAAAACAACCAGTATTTTCTTTTCTTTTGTGTTCCACAGAAAAAAGAAAGTCAAACAGGCTTTGAACACCACGAGGGTGAGTAAACGATGGTAATATTTTTATTTCTGAGTGAACTATACCTTTAATAAGGGTTTATCTTATTCAGACACTTGTAGACTGAAGTCAGAGCCGCTGCTATTGCGCTAATGATTAATAAGAACAAGTCATACTTCATCCATCAATCCAAAGTTTTTAGGAAAGACACTAAGTGGCAGATGTGTATCACTGTCAATTTATTCAGGTGTCAGTTTCCCTGTGCCTCTTTAAGGCAAAATTACCATCTCAAACCAACCGAGAACATGGCGCTTTGATAACCCATGACTCCACGTAGGCTGGATGGAATTGTTTTCTTTTTATTGCCGTAGATGAAAGCAGGCACGGATTGCGTATCTCCAGCCCTGACTCCTAGTCCTCATGCATAGTCTTTCTCCTCCCTCGTTTTTTGATTAATTGATGACATCCTCAATTACACATCACTGCTGTCTAAGAGATTTTTTGCTCAGGCGTGACCACCGCCAAGAAGCCCTTGAGAGGCAGAGCACGACTCGGGGATGCTTTGAAACTTATGATTAGTTTTTCGGCTCCGCGGGACCTGTAGCGTCTTCCTACACGCCGCGAGTACAAGCGCCGCAGTCATTACAAATTTACAAGACAGATCCCTACAAAAGATTGTCAAGTCGCAGAGACGTTTGCAAATAGACAAATACAAAAAATAAATGCAGCAGAAGTAGGAACAAGAGGGCTGTCTGCGCTTCTGTGGCGGGCAATATTGACGTGTAATTAGAGCGAGCTTCAGTTCTGCTTAGTTCTCCGTTTGCTGTTTCATGATTAAGTGCAGATTAACATAAAGAGATCCATCAAAAGTTGGTGCTTGGGTGGGGAGGGGGTTCTGCGAGGGATGGAGATTGGTGGCCGCTGATGAGGATGCATTACATCGCTGTCTGCACCCTGACACCTGGCTGCGGATCCAGGCTGGGCTGCATCTGGGAAATAAAGGCACCCTTCACAGATGTCAGTGGCGGCTTTGAAAGGTCAGAGCGGCCCGCCTTGATGGACTTTTAATTATTAAATATGCATCGGCTGAAATGGCTTGGCAAGCATCAGAGGCTCCGAACCGATGTGTACATAAACAGCTCAACTTCATGATGATTTAAGGACCTAATAGCAGCATGTGTGATCTTGTGTAATGCTGCCAGCAGAGAGAGCAGTGGCCCGAGCGTTTACCTGGTTTACGCTGCGAGCTGAATTGATGCGACTTGTGTATAAAGTGATTTTATGATTAGTCCAGCTAGTTTGGATTCCATTACAATTGTCTAGATGAATGGCCCCTGCTCGCAGTTTGGTAAACAAAGCACAGTGGGAAAGATAATGGGAATGCTTGTTTCTGATCCCTGAGGACTTTTTGATATCAGCCCACAATGTATTAAAAATGCAGGTTGGGAGCCACGCGAAATGTTAATCCACTTAGGAAAGGTGCCGGGAAGCCCAGGTAATCTAAATATTCAAAGAGGACGACTGTTTCGATTTGTTGAAAAGGCTGTGCACCCGCCAGGCTAAAAAGCACCAATTTAACCGGCCAGCCATTTCCAATAAAGGAGAATCAAATCTAAAGATCAATTTGCTGAGATACGCTCTGACAATCACGCCTTAATATTTTTATCATCTCTATTTTGAAAACTAAAAGAAAAATGACTTTTTTGAGGGAAAAAAGTCATAGGCATAATTGAAGATGAATTACTTTCTGAGAGTTTTTGTATATTGTTTACCTGCCGTTTCAGTGTGTTCGCATTCAAAAGCCTCTGAATTGTAACAAAATGTGCGCACGTCGGAGAGGGTCCAGAACCTAATTCTCTTGGGCACTGGACAGACCGCTAGAGAGATATTACATTAATCAACATGGCAAGAACCAGCTTTCAGAAAGATGGTTTAGAGAATATTTGTTTTCATTTACTGCCATAAATTACGCTCTTAAAATAGGCTTACCAGTCTGAGATGTATGACAAAGTAATTAAAATGTCAGCAACTCATATTGTGCTCCTAGTTCCTGGGAGCCCAGCTGCGTATATCTGACGTTGCGTTTTGATTTATGATGCTCTCGGGCCTTGGAAAACTTTCTGTCACCCACATCTGAGGACAGAAAAGCTTACCGCATTGACGGCCAGGGAGCAGGCAGAGAGACACAAGCACCGCTGCCTTGAGGCCTCGTGACCCGGAATTATGTCGGAATCATGGAATATGCCGTCTGCGCGGTGTGTGCCTCTAAGTGATGCCGCAAAAGAAGAGATCAAAGTCTATCTGAAAGATAAAATATAGGCAAACTATCATGCCAGAAAATATGCTGTGGGTCTGAGCAAAAATGACAAGTGCAAATGTCTGTTTATGTGAGACTACAAAGCAGTAAAAGAACTTGGGAAAGTAGCTTCAGGGCCATACAGGAGGCCACAGAGAGTGACACTATGTCTGCTTTTCCCATTTAGCCCCAGGATCAAACAAATAAATGCTCAAAGTGAATGAAATCAGGTCATGGCAATTTTCTTGTTTCAGGCTCAGATGCCTAAGGTGGTCTGCAGGCATGAGTCAAGCCTTTTCCCCTGCCGTACTCTGAGCGGAGACACGCGTGTCTCAGAAACACGTACAAAGTACAGATGAAGTACAGCTTCTCTGAAAGCTGCTGAACCAGAAGCCCAGACCTCCCTATGTGTTCTCTATGGAATTCAACCCAAACTAAAAGAGAGAACATCCCCAAATCTGCCTGTCCCTTCAACCTGACCCCTCACAACTAAACAGAACAGACCGCCTGCTTCCAAATTCTGTTGCCTACCAACTGTTATACTGTAGAAAGTGTTCAGTGTGAAGTTATAAAGTGAGAAATGAACAAAATGAGAATATAGGAGACATAAGGAGACGACGAGAGGTTAGTAGAAACAACAGCTGTAAAGCAACATGATGAGATGAGAAGAGACAAGAAGAGACATGAAGAAACAATAAAAAAAACGAGGAGAACAGATGAGGAGAAGAGATGAGATAAGACAAAATAGAGGGGAGGGGACAAAATGAGAAAAAAAGATTAAAGAAGACAAGACAAGAAGAGAAGAGAAGAGAAGAGAAGAGAAGAGAAGAGAAGAGACAGGAGGGGTGGACACAAAATTAGATGACAAAAGAGGGTAGAGTTGACACAAAAATACCAGATCAGAAAAAAAAGATGGGACAAAATAAGCAAAACTTATTTTTTAGTATTTGATTATTTGAAAGGAAATGAGAAGAAGTGTTAAGAGACAAGGCGAGAAGAGAACAGATGAGACGAGACAGAGACAGAGACAAGAAGTGCACTGATGTCTGTTCTCCTCTCTCTCTCCTGCATTGCTATGTATCACAGCACACTGAGACACTTTCACACAAACACGATGGAGCTGAGCCGGAGCCCAGATGATCAATGGTGTGAATGCAATGACAGCAGAAAATCTCTCTGCCAGACCATATCCAGGCCACAGTTCTAGCGTCTGCTTCCTTAATATCCATTAAAAGCAACAGTTCACTGCAGTCTCCTCTGTGATGAATGTGCTGGCCATTTGTAGGCTGAGATGTACAAGTGAAGATAAGCCTGCTACCTCATCCATTCCTCAGCCCAACTCAACCCTACGACCACGGGAATCATGACTAATGGCCTATCAGAACCCGGACTCAACCGTCCCCGCTGGTCTGTGCTGTGTTGGCCAGAACCACAGAAAACTTGCATGGGGCTCCTGGAAACACAATATACATTATCAATAGCAGTTCAATTCTAACTGTAGTAATATTAACAGCAAATCATAGTGCAGTGAAGTATGATTGCAGTTCAATTCTGAATTTGCAATTCTAAATCTATCATTCTAACTGTCTACGAATCTATTGCTCTTTAAGAACTATAAACCTTCAAACATTCAGGCTTTTTAAACTTTAAGCCAATTTTCTAAGTTTTTCTAAATATTCAAATTTGAAATACTATTCTGAATACTGTTTG